GAGGGCAGCGGACCCTCCCTCTGTGTGTGGGGGGGCAGTGGACCCTCCCTCTTTGTGTGTGTGTGGGGGGGGGCAGTGGACCCTCTCTCTGTGTAATGAGGAGCAGTGGACCCTCCCTCTGTGTGTGAAGGGGCATGGACCCTCCCACTGCGTAATAAGGGTCAGTGGACCCTCCCTCTGTGTGTGAAGGGGCATGGACCCTCCTGCTGTGTAATGAGGAGCAGTGGACCCTCCTGCTGTGTAATGAGGAGCAGTGGACCCTCCCTCTGTGTGTGAAGGGGCATGGACCCTCCCGCTGCGTAATGCGGGTCAGTGCACCCTCCCTCTGTGTGTGAAGGGGCATGGACCCTCCCGCTGCGTAATGAGGAGCAGTGGACCCTCCCTCTGTGTGTAGAGGGGCATTGGACCCTCCTTCTTTGTAAAGAGGAGCAGTGGACCCTCCCTCTGTGTAATGAGGAGCAGTGGACCCTCCCTCTGTGTGTGAAGGGGCATGGACCCTCCCGCTGCGTAATGAGGGGCAGTGGACCCTCCCTCTGTGTGTGGGGGGGCAGTGGACCCTCCCTCTGTGTAATGAGGAGCAGTGGACCCTCCCTCTGTGTTGGAGGGGCAGTGGACCCTCCCTCTGTGTAATGAGGGGCAGTGGACCCTCCCTCTGTGTGTGGGGGGCAGTGGACCCTCCTTCTCTGTTTCAGTAGATCAGAAGGACTGAATGATCGTCCATCTACAGTGGGAACCTGTTCAGGACCATTCATTGTGTTTGAACTTTTTCACTCTGATCTATAAATAGAGCATAAAAACTGAGACCTAGAAGACCTACTTCCCTGCTGGTTGGCCACTGCTAGAACCAGAACCATGATTAAAAACACTGATCCAAACCCAACAGAAGCTGTGAGGAACTCCAGAGGTGTTCTACTGCGAACCTTTATCCCTCCAGTTAGCTGGCTCCTCAGCTCTAATGCTCCCCATCATCAAATAACCCAGATGGTGTAAACCTGCCCCACCCTGGCTGGAGGCGACATCAGTTGAATTCTGCTCTCAGCAGGAGATACTCATTTCCTGGATTATAACCTCAGCATCTGAAGCTCCTCATTCAGACATTCAGCATCAGCACCAGAGTAGAGGTGCAGGGGGAAGATGTTGGTGAAAAGGTGAGAAGCTCCTTCTGTAGACCCATGTTCTGAACAGAATGGCATCTGTTCCAGGTGTTTAATGGCCTCGGTGCCGACGCCCCTCGCCTCCAGCGATTCTGTGGGACCGTGTCTCCTGGGACTCAGGTCAAGTCATCTGGGAACGCCATGGCAGTGGTGTTCCGCACCGATGCTTCGGTGTCCAGCGGAGGCTTCATGGCTATGTACTCCTCAGATGAGCCTGCAGGTGAGCTGGTTCCTCAATCCATCCTGCCAGCAGGGAGGCCTCCCTGTGTTTCCTCATTGGTCTCATTCCTCGTTGTTCTGTCAGAATGTGGTGGGATTCTGAATGACCCATCAGGAGGAAACTTCACCTCCCCTGGATACCTGGTGTCCAACTACAGCAACAACCTGAACTGTGAGTGGTTGATCCAGAACCCGCTACACATCAACTCCTCCATCGTGGTCCTTATTGAAGACCTGCACCTGGAAAACCATCAGACCTGCGAGCTGGACTACCTCCAGTTCCGCCTGGGTGAGTTCTGCCAACATGGACGCCACCTTTTACCTTCCAACTTCCTGTTTATCTCAGGATACTTTGAGGCTGCTTCCTGCCTCCTGTTTCCATCCTCAAGTATGTCCTTAGTTCCTGTCCAATGGGGGCGAGGCCTTCCCAGAATCCAGCATTGCTACATTCTGCAGAACGCTGAATCTCATTAAGCTAGCGACCGGGAGGGATCCTCTAAAACCCTGGTTCTATTTCATCCCTACTGACCACCAGTGGCGGTGCTTCAAGCATTGAATGATCATTCTTGCGCATGCGCAGGTCCAATATTAATGACAGCAAAGTCACCTGTGACCTGCCGGGGGCCCACGTGACTCTATTTAGTCACATGGCATCCGGCATTCAATCCCAATTGTTCTTCTTGCATGCAGGTGTGGTTGCGTGAAGCTGGTTGCTTCTGTGTGTACCACTGATATCCTAGCTCCTTGTTGCCGGCAGCCCTGTGAACGGGTTTGGTCGGAGCTGCAGGTAAGTCTCGCCCTCCAGGGACTGCACAAGCTGTTTATTTCTTTCTTTACCCTTACCAGATCTGAGGTTGCCTCTGCAACGACTGGTAGGCTTTGTTCTTTACTAATAGCAGTAGTCTACTGCTTGCATTGTTTATCTGACTCACAAATAGCATTTTTGCTCGCGTTGAGTTCTCTTTAAGTTATTTTTTGACTCACCAGTAGCATTTCCTGCTCATGCTGAGTTCTCTATATGTTGTTTATCTGACTCACCAGTAGCATTTCTGCTCGCGTTGAGTTCTCTTTAAGTTATTTTTTGACTCACCAGTAGCATTTCCTGCTCATGCTGAGTTCTCTATATGTTGTTTATCTGACTCACCAGTAGCATTTCTGCTCGCGTTGAGTTCTCTTTAAGTTATTTTTTGACTCACCAGTAGCATTTCCTGCTCATGCTGAGTTCTCTATATGTTGTTTATCTGACTCACCAGTAGCATTTCTGCTCGCGTTGAGTTCTCTTTAAGTTATTTTTTGACTCACCAGTAGCATTTCCTGCTCATGCTGAGTTCTCTATATGTTGTTTATCTAACTCACCAGTAGCGTTTCTGCTCGTTCTGAGTTCATCTTTAGTTAATTAATCGGACCCGGGGTAATCACGCAGGCAAGGTGCAAACGGCCTACAGTGGCTGCACCTTCGGCGCTGGCGAAGTGAGCCAGGCGGACCAATGCAGGGAGGTTGTCCACAAGAGTGGATCATCTCAGCACCGAGCTGGCCCAAATGAGGGGCCCTTTTCCAGTCCTTTCAGGCTGGTGATGATTGTAGCACAGCTCTCCCTCCAGGGCAGGGCGGAGCATCAATCGATGATGATGCTATTTTGGTGGCTGCCTCTGACACCCATTTTTTTGAGAACCTTCCAGGGCTGGGCTCCGGGGCCTCTGGTTCTGAATCAATTTCCACCCAGGAGGATACGGGGTAGTCTTTGACAGCTGCCATTCTAACAGCCCTTGCCCTCTTACATATTGATGTCCCTCCGGCCAAGCCTCCAGCTTCCAGTGCCTTCTTTAAACAAAGTAGATCTGAGACTGCCTTTGTGCTTCCTCCCTCGGGGGAGTATACACGGGAACTACGTGATTGCTGGTCAAACACCAAGGCACTTTCACCTCTGACAACAGATGGCAGGGTTCTGGCGGCTATGCAGGAGTCACCAAGGTTTGACTTGGGGCAGATGCCAGCTGTGAAACCTGGCATTGCCTCTCTTATTGTCTCACCTGATGAGGCTTTGAGGCCCAGTGCCCGTTGTCTGCACCTTCAGTGTCACGTTACTGATGACCTTCTCTGCAAGGCCTATGACTCCGGGGCCCACATGGGCCAGATTGGGAACTCTCTCCCAATTTATATTGGCCCTGTCTTCCTCCTTGGAATCTGCTCCATCTTGCTTGGTTGGACACTGGATCCCTCCCTGAACCACTGTGCCCTGTTTGTGCCCTTGAGGCATATAATATAAAAAGCAAAAATATTCTTTTTGTTTGCTACACCGGCTCACTGAACGGTCAGCCACTTTCTAAGCAGCGGCTTGCACACTGGGTTGTGGATTTGATCTCTAAGGCTTATACCTTGCAGGACCGGCTGCTGCCGACAGGAGTGAAGTGCTACTCTACAAGGGGCATGTTAACATTTGCTGCCATGACAGGGGTGCCATTGGATGTTATATGCCGTGCGGCCTCCTGGACATCACCTACTACTTTACTTGGTTTTACAGGGTGAATGTGGCTGAGCCCCATTCCCTTCAAGGAATCCTGGAGCAGCATGCCTCTAAATCACATTACGTGGGTGGTGTAAGGGTTGTCCCTTGAGTGTTGCCGATTCCTCGTTACCTTGTTGACATAAGTTATGCAGCACTTCAAGCACCGTCTCTGGTGTTCAGTAGGGATGAAATAGAACAAAAGTTACTACTGTAACTACCTTTCTATGAATCCAGAATGACCGGCAGAGTAGTTGGTCCCTATTGATCTCTGCTTCTTGTGAGAAGATCGAGGGATTGAACGCCAGGTACCATTTGGCTAAACAGAGTCCAGTGGGTCCCTGGCAGGTCACAGGTGACTTTGTTGTCATTAATACTTGAGCTGCGCACGCAAAAGCATGATCATCTAGTGCTTGAAGCACCGCCTCTGGCAGTCATCCGGGATTCATAGAACCGTAGTTACAGTAGTAACTTTTGTTCAGTTCTACAAATGTAATAGCAAATTAAATAGAAACAAAATGAAAGCAGACACCATGACAGCTTAGCTGTTAGCCTGTCAAAGATTAGTTAGCATAGCTAGGCTACTTCCTCCCACTGCCATGCTGGTTTAGTTCAGCTGCTTCCATCACAGCTAGAAGTCCCGCCCTAAACATTAATACTGCAGCGTGATTGGCCGACCTGTTCTTTTTTCTGTCCTCTTAAGACTCTTGCTGCCTCCTTTTATTTTGACCTTTTATGTCCTCGGGGACACTTTGGAAAGGTTGTTTTAAATCTGCAATTTATTAATTTTTAGAGACTATCTTAGCTTACAATTTTCAGCCGGATTGGATCACAGTGAGTCAGCAGATCTGATCACAGATCTGGAAGGAGGTTTGAATTTAAACAGATGTTTTTTAGTGAGCACTTAGATTTCTTATCACCAGTGTTGGGAAAGTTCTCTTTCTACGTGAACTAGTTCAAAGTTCAGTTCACACATTTTAAAATGAACTAGTTCAGTTCATAATTCAAAACCAAAAAATGAACTAGTTCATAGTTCTTTTTTTTTCATATATTGCTCAATTACACCATAGCCTACTGTAGAACCACAGACAGCAATTATTTTATCAGTTGTAACCCTGAAACTGTGCGTCAGATTTCATCTTCATATCCAGTTTTGAATCCTTATCCAACCAGGGTTTACATTAGCATTGAGGGGACAGCATTTCCCCATTGTTGCTTTAACGCTTTGTTGCTGTCCATTCACTTCACACTAGTAGCAGCTGCAGCTTTCACCCCTACAGTATATTCTCAGAAACATCAGGAAAATGTGCTGCTTGAATGGTCTTTTTATGAGTAATTATTAAAAGAAAAATAGGAAAGTAGTCTTTAAGGTGCAAATGTTTTTTTTTTTAATTTTAATATTTTTTTCCATTTGAAATTCCTTTTCAATACATACTAAAAAGGAATACTGGAATCCTGGAAAATTATACCAGGCAGGTTTAACAAACAAGTTACATGGATAGTAAAACCCTCAAGAACAGGGGTCTTCTTTTCCAGACCAAGGACCCCCAAACTGATGGCGAGATGGAGCGAGACCCCCTATTTATATATATTGTATGAAATTGTGTCCTATAGTCACTCTATTACAGATGGAGTAATGTAAAGAAATTAATTTCTCCCTGGGATTATTAAAGTTTTTCTGATTCTGATTCCTGGTTGATGGGACAGGTGTTGTGAAGGAAACGGTGTCCAGCTTGAAAGAGCTTCTGTGTGTCGCTGAATGTGTGCATTGATGACTGAAAGACATCTTTTGTCTCCATTTATCTGTTTACTACAGTCTGTTGATTTCATGTTAATGAGTATTTAAAGACATTTCAATTAGTGGGGGAAAAAATGCAGGGGGGGAATATAAAAATATCAACTAACCATGCAGACCCTCATGCAGTACCTCCGTAGACCCCCTAGGGGTCGCGGATCCCCTGTTGAAGACCTCCGCTCAAGAAGATTTTACTAACACAAACTGAGGGACCAGGCTGAGGGAGGAATTTAAGGTTACTGAAGTGCGGATTTTTTTACTGAAAGCCGGCGGGCAAACTTGTTGCCATCATCCTCACCGACCACCTGGTCATAAAACAGTTTTAAGTCGCCTCCATGCTGCTGGGGCTTCCACGCTGCATTTTGTTTTGATGACGCACGCGGCTGTAGGCTACGACGCTGGTAGCTGGTGTTGCCAGATTGGGTGTTTTTCCCGCTACATATTAAGGCCTGTTTACGGTGTGATTTAGCCGGGGTTTCGCCTGGAGGACTCTATAGAAATCTGGCAACCTATTGAACGGAGCTGAACTGAGAGAGCGTGCCGTTCACAGACACCAGAATGAACGAGTTCACAATAACGTTCATCAGGCAGTAATGCAGTACGTTCAGTTCACGTTCGCCCAAAATATGAACGAGTTCATGAACTTTCGTTCAATGAACGCGTTCAGGCACAACACTGCTTATCACCAAACACACTTCTAACAGCACCAATCATACAGACTCACACACTGTACACCTCACAGCTCTTCAAATACACAAACATTCATTCCATTAAAGGCAGTGACAAATAGTTTCATATGCATAATTTTCTAACTTCATAGACCCAAGCAGCCAGTCTAAACTAATTTACATGAACTTTTTAACTCTTTTTATCGACTTTTAGCCTAGCAACATCACCACAGAGCCAACCTGCTATCTGTTTCTTTCTTTGTTACTGTTTTAGTTTATGCAAGTGGGGCGCCCTGCAGCCCTAGCCTAGTGGCTATAAACTCTCTTTCCTGATGCGCTTTACTCAGGCCAATGAGGCGGAAAAAAAGACACTCAGATGATTCACTTCGTTTTGTCCTGTGGAGGGGAAACCTTTTATTGACAGGTTGAATTCCAACAGCTGTCTAATAATAGCATAGAGCGCTAACATCTCAAAGCTATTTTCCCCTGAAATGGTGCATCCATCTGAAGCTGTATTTATACCTTCCTTTCAACATTGTGTAATGCATGTGTGTGTATTCTGGCTTTGGCTTTTCCTAAGTGTTTATGAGCAGGATAGCCTGATACGCACATAGGAATCTGTGTGGAAATCTGTGTGACATATTCTAAGCTTGTTTTTCTAAAGTTGTTTCTTGGCTTATGCAGAGTTGAGTTGAGAATGTTATTACCAAGAATCTTGTTATTGCCAGGATGTGTACGGGAGCTTGCTTTCCATGTTTGCCACTGTATTCACTGTGTGTTGCTAAGTTTGTACTACACCTTTTACTGAAATATGTTTACACAGTGTGAAAACTATATAGATCCTTCAATAGCTCTGGAATAGATATCGCAGACCTAGCTGGTAGGCCAACAGCTTCGCTTCCACTAGCTAACCAATATGACTGCTGCCATAAAGCTGTGCTTACTGAAACTTTCTTGAAAATTATTAAGCTTGGTGTCAACAAAATTGAAAAATTTGACCCAAAATGACAGACTTCCTGTAGCTTTAGAGCATACCTCCATTAGACTTTTTTTTCATCATTTTGCAACATCAAACTTGGTTAAAAAAATTAAAATCTCTGCGACTTAGAGTTTTCCCCATCTCACTCACAGGGGGCACTGTAGAGCCATTTGACCACGCCCACTTTGAATTCCATTAAATAAGTAAATAATTAGGGCAGTAAAATGAACCAGGCCAACCATTCTCGGTCTCCAACTCTCTACATAGCAGCGGGATCAGATGAATGCTAATGTGTTTATCGTAGAATTACAGTGAGGACTAAGCTAGCAGCGTGCTAATGCAGTGAGCTGTATAAACTGGAGCTTGCTGAGTTTCTCTGGTTGTTGTCCATGTCTGCAGGCGACGCCGATGGGGACCCATTGGGCAGGTTTTGTGGGCAAAGTATCCCACCTGTCCCTATAGTGGTGTTTACTCCAGAACTCTGGGTCCATTTCCAGACCGACTCCTCACAGGGAGATTTGGGCTTCAAGGCCAAGTACTTGTTCTCAGGTAAGATGGTGATACCTTTCCTACCTAGCTACCAAATCTAAGCCCCCAGGGGCCTCAGATGAACATTTGTCTGTGCAGAATGTGGAGGCTGGCAGACAGGAGACAGCGGGGTGATATCCAGCCCTAATTATCCCGACCAGTACCCCAGCCCCAGTCGCTGCGCCTGGCTCCTGGAAGCTCCCGTGGGCCACACCATCACGGTGAGTCCTAAACCCCCCTACCTGCCTCTGTGGAACCACCGTTGGTTACCAGTGGTTACCAGTGGTTGCCAGTGGTTACCAGCGGATGCCAGTGGTTACAAGTGGTTACCAGTCGTTGATAGTGGTTACCAGTGGTTGAAAGTGGTTACCAGTGGCTGCCAGCGGTTACCAGTGTTTGACAGTGGTTACCAGTGGTTGACAGTTGTTACCAGTCGTTGACAGTGGTTACCAGTGGTTGAAAGTGGTTACCAGTGGCTGCCAGCGGTTACCAGTGTTTGACAGTGGTTACCAGTGGTTGACAGTTGTTACCAGTCGTTGACAGTGGTTACCAGTGGCTGCCAGCTTTTACCAGTGTTTGACAGTGGATACCAGTCATTGACAGTGGTTACCAGTGGTTGACAGTGGTTACCAGTCGTTGACAGTGGTTACCAGTGGCTGCCAGCGGTTACCAGTGTTTGACAGTGGTTACCAGTGGTTGCCAGTGGTTGCCAGCGGTTACCAGTGGCTGCCAGCGGTTACCAGTGTTTGACAGTGGTTACCAGTGGTTGCCAGCAGTTACCAGTCGTTGACAGTGGTTACCAGTGGTTGCCAGAGGTTACCAGTGGTTGACAGTGGTTACCAGTGGTTGACAGTGGTTACCAGTGGTTGCCAGCAGTTACCAGTGGTTGCCAGTGGTTACCAGCGCTTGCCAGTGGCTACCAGTGCTTGCCAGTGGTTGACAGTGGTTGCCAGTGGTTACCAGTGGTTGCCAGCGGTTACCAGTGGTTGACAGTGGTTGACATTGGTTACCAGTGGTTGCCAGCGGTTACCAGTGGTGGACAGTGGTTACCAGTGGTTGACATTGGTTACCAGTGGTTGCCAGCGGTTACCAGTGGTGGACAGTGGTTACCAGTGGTTGACATTGGTTACCAGTGGTTGCCAGCGGTTACCAGTGGTTGCCAGTGGTTACCAGCGGATACCAGTGGTTGCCAGCAGTTACCAGTCGTTGACAGTGGTTACCAGTGGTTACCAGCGGATGCCAGTGGTTACAAGTGGTTACCAGTCGTTGATAGTGGTTACCAGTGGTTGAAAGTGGTTACCAGTGGCTGCCAGCGGTTACCAGTGTTTGACAGTGGTTACCAGTGGTTGATAGTTGTTACCAGTCGTTGACAGTGGTTACCAGTGGTTGAAAGTGGTTACCAGTGGCTGCCAGCGGTTACCAGTGTTTGACAGTGGTTACCAGTGGTTGACAGTTGTTACCAGTCGTTGACAGTGGTTACCAGTGGCTGCCAGCTTTTACCAGTGTTTGACAGTGGATACCAGTCATTGACAGTGGTTACCAGCGGTTACCAGTGGTTGACAGTGGTTACCAGTGGTTGACAGTGGTTACCAGTCGTTGACAGTGGTTACCAGTCGTTGACAGTGGTTACCAGTGGCTGCCAGCGGTTACCAGTGTTTGACAGTGGTTACCAGTGGTTGCCAGTGGTTGCCAGCGGTTACCAGTGGCTGCCAGCGGTTACCAGTGTTTGACAGTGGTTACCAGTGGTTGCCAGCAGTTACCAGTCGTTGACAGTGGTTACCAGTGGTTGCCAGAGGTTACCAGTGGTTGACAGTGGTTACCAGTGGTTGACAGTGGTTACCAGTGGTTGCCAGCAGTTACCAGTGGTTGCCAGTGGTTACCAGCGCTTGCCAGTGGCTACCAGTGCTTGCCAGTGGTTGACAGTGGTTGCCAGTGGTTACCAGTGGTTGCCAGCGGTTACCAGTGGTTGACAGTGGTTGACATTGGTTACCAGTGGTTGCCAGCGGTTACCAGTGGTGGACAGTGGTTACCAGTGGTTGACATTGGTTACCAGTGGTTGCCAGCGGTTACCAGTGGTGGACAGTGGTTACCAGTGGTTGACATTGGTTACCAGTGGTTGCCAGCGGTTACCAGTGGTGGACAGTGGTTACCAGTGGTTGACATTGGTTACCAGTGGTTGCCAGCGGTTACCAGTGGTGGACAGTGGTTACCAGTGGTTGACATTGGTTACCAGTGGTTGCCAGCGGTTACCAGTCGTTGACAGTGGTTACCAGTGGTTGAAAGTGGTTACCAGTGGCTGCCAGCGGTTACCAGTGTTTGACAGTGGTTACCAGTGGTTGACAGTTGTTACCAGTCGTTGACAGTGGTTACCAGTGGCTGCCAGCTTTTACCAGTGTTTGACAGTGGATACCAGTCATTGACAGTGGTTACCAGTGGTTACCAGCGGTTACCAGTGGTTGACAGTGGTTACCAGTGGTTGACAGTGGTTACCAGTCGTTGACAGTGGTTACCAGTCGTTGACAGTGGTTACCAGTGGCTGCCAGCGGTTACCAGTGTTTGACAGTGGTTACCAGTGGTTGCCAGCAGTTACCAGTCGTTGACAGTGGTTACCAGTGGTTGCCAGAGGTTACCAGTGGTTGACAGTGGTTACCAGTGGTTGACAGTGGTTACCAGTGGTTGCCAGCAGTTACCAGTGGTTGCCAGTGGTTACCAGCGCTTGCCAGTGGCTACCAGTGCTTGCCAGTGGTTGACAGTGGTTGCCAGTGGTTACCAGTGGTTGCCAGCGGTTACCAGTGGTTGACAGTGGTTGACATTGGTTACCAGTGGTTGCCAGCGGTTACCAGTGGTGGACAGTGGTTACCAGTGGTTGACATTGGTTACCAGTGGTTGCCAGCGGTTACCAGTCGTTGACAGTGGTTACCAGTGGCTGCCAGCGGTTACCAGTGGTTGACAGAGGTTACCAGTGGTTGACAGTGGTTACCAGTGGTTACCAGTGGCTGCCAGCGGTTACCAGTGGTTACCAGCGGTTACCAGTTGTTGACAGTGGTTACCAGTGGTTGCCAGCAGTTACCAGCACTTGCCAGTGGCTACCAGTGATTGCCAGTGGTTGACAGTGGTTGCCAGTGGTTACCAGTGGTTGCCAGCGGTTACCAGTGGTTGACAGTGGTTGACATTGGTTACCAGTGGTTGCCAGCGGTTACCAGTGGTGGACAGTGGTTACCAGTAGTTGACATTGGTTACCAGTGGTTGCCAGCGGTTACCAGTGGTTGACAGTGGTTGACATTGGTTACCAGTGGTTGCCAGCGGTTACCAGTGGTGGACAGTGGTTACCAGTCGTTGACAGTGGTTACCAGTGGTTGACAGTGGTTACCAGTGGTTGACAGTGGTTACCAGTGGTTGACAGTGGTTACCAGCAGTTACCAGCACTTGCCAGTGGCTACCAGTGATTGCCAGTGGTTGACAGTGGTTGCCAGTGGTTGCCAGCGGTTACCAGTGGTTACCAGCGGTTACCAGTTGTTGACAGCAGTTACCAGTGGTTGCCAATGGTTACCAGCGCTTGCCAGTGGCTACCAGTGCTTGCCAGTGGTTGACAGTGGTTGCCAGTGGTTACCAGTGGTTGCCAGCGGTTACCAGTGGTTGACAGTGGTTGACATTGGTTACCAGTGGTTGCCAGCGGTTACCAGTGGTGGACAGTGGTTACCAGTGGTTGACATTGGTTACCAGTGGTTGCCAGCGGTTACCAGTCGTTGACAGTGGTTACCAGTGGCTGCCAGCGGTTACCAGTGGTTGACAGAGGTTACCAGTGGTTGACAGTGGTTACCAGTGGTTGACAGTGGTTACCAGTGGTTACCAGTGGCTGCCAGCGGTTACCAGTGGTTACCAGCGGTTACCAGTTGTTGACAGTGGTTACCAGTGGTTGCCAGCAGTTACCAGTGGCTACCAGTGATTGCCAGTGGTTGACAGTGGTTGCCAGTGGTTACCAGTTGTTGCCAGTGGTTACCAGTGGTTGACAGTGGTTACCAGTGGTTGACAGTGGTTACCAGTGGTTGCCAGCAGTTACCAGTGGTTGCCAGTGGTTACCAGCTTTTGCCAGTGGATGACAGTGGTTGCCAGCGGTTACCAGTGGTTGACAGTGGTTGACATTGGTTACCAGTGGTTGCCAGCGGTTACCAGTGGTGGACAGTGGTTACCAGTGGTTGACATTGGTTACCAGTGGTTGCCAGCGGTTACCAGTCGTTGACAGTGGTTACCAGTGGTTGACAGTGGTTACCAGTGGTTGACAGTGGTTACCAGCAGTTACCAGCACTTGCCAGTGGCTACCAGTGATTGCCAGTGGTTGACAGTGGTTGCCAGTGGTTGACAGTGGTTACCAGTGGTTGACAGTGGTAACCAGTGGTTACCAGTGGCTGCCAGCGGTTAGCAGTGGTTACCAGCGGTTACCAGTTGTTGACAGCAGTTACCAGTGGTTGCCAGTGGCTACCAGTGCTTGCCAGTGGTTGACAGTGGTTGCCAGTGGTTACCAGTGGTTGCCAGCGGTTACCAGTGGTTGACAGTGGTTGACATTGGTTACCAGTGGTTGACATTGGTTACCAGTGGTTGCCAGCGGTTACCAGTGGTGGACAGTGGTTACCAGTGGTTGACATTGGTTACCAGTGGTTGACAGTGGTTACCAGTGGTTACCAGTGGCTGCCAGCGGTTACCAGTGGTTACCAGCGGTTACCAGTTGTTGACAGTGGTTACCAGTGGTTGCCAGCAGTTACCAGTGGCTACCAGTGATTGCCAGTGGTTGACAGTGGTTGCCAGTGGTTACCAGTGGTTGCCAGTGGCTACCAGTGCTTGCCAGTGGTTGACAGTGGTTGCCAGTGGTTACCAGTGGTTGCCAGTGGTTACCAGTGGTTGACAGTGGTTGACATTGGTTACCAGTGGTTGCCAGCGGTTACCAGTGGTTGACAGTGGTTACCAGTGTTTGACAGTGGTTACCAGTGGTTGCCAGCGGTTACCAGTGGTTAACAGTGGTTACCAGTGGTTGACATTGGTTACCAGTGGTTACCAGCGGTTACCAGTCGTTGACAGTGGTTACCAGTGGCTGCCAGTGGTTACCAGTGGTTGACAGAGGTTACCAGTGGTTACCAGTGGTTACCAGTGGTTACCAGTGGCTGCCAGTGGTTACCAGTGGCTGCCAGTGGTTACCAGTGGTTGACAGTGGTTACCAGTGGTTACC